GTCGTAGAATTCCTGCAGACATGAATTAGGCGCTAATGCTTCATAACTCAGGTCCTGTTGCGCGAGCAGCTCCGCCTCCACCACTGAAAGCAGAAGTTCGACGACTGCCGACTGGAGAAGTCTACGCCGTTCGTGAATTGGTCGGATATAGTGCAGGAGCAACACCGAAAGGGTCACCACGTCATGGCTCGCCCTTTGCTGGATCCCCAGTGGTTATAGAAGAAGAAAAGGCAGTACTCAATGAGCAGAGACGTCCTTGCTCAGAAGAAATGGTAAGAAAGAGAACACTTTCAGTTACAGATGGGCAACATACTCCGCGTCAGTTACGCCCCACTGCGCTTGCAGTCGACCCCTGTCCCAAAAATGCACAGGCGTCCGTGTTTACCAAGGAACCCATCATTACAATGACAGCATTCACGTGCAGATTTTAGCGGAAAAAGTGACACGCACTTGCAGCTGCGGACCTGTTCCTCTTTACATAGTAGAGGCCAGGATCAATCGGGGTTAATGTACAGTTTGCTTCGAACAACTAGCTAGGAGTAATGAGCGCAGTGATTGTTAAACCTAGACGATTAAATGTGAAATTTTCAATAGTCAAGACTCCCAACTCAATCAGCACCTGTTAAGATGGCAATCCGTGAAACAGGAGAGCGAAGAGATGATGAAACTGATCGCGATGGGTCATCAATGGAAGCACTGGATATACTATCCGAAGTAGAAGCTGATATAGTAGAAGAGAAAAAGTGTACCAGTTACGTGGGGTTACCGTCATCAGCTGCTGTCAAAGGAAAGGTATACAAGCAAGTACCGATGTGTCTCCAGTACTGCTACTACCCTTAATGTAAATTCTCAGGGACCCACAAGGAAAAGAGGATCAATAAAGTTGGAAGATAAAGGGCAATCCCAAAAGGTTATCGCCTATATTACCGTTGAATAGATGCACAAGTGGATTAGTACACATGAAACTATGACAGACATAAAGATTAATCTTTAGCGAACTTGTTTATTATTTATTAGTTCCAATGAATAAATTGCCTCTTGTCGGCCTTTAATTTACTGGCGTTATGGGAAACCCTGGCAAGGAGCAGCGCAAGCCTTGTCAAAAGAATAGTAGCAGCGACTGTGCCTCGAAGACGCACTGTATGACTACACGCGACATGGATACTTCGAAAGTAAACGGTGAGCAGGTTTGTAGGTCGAAGAAGTACCACTCTCGCCCATCAAAAATGAGCGGAAATAAAGCTTATGGGTTGAGATCGGTGTGCGACGCCCCCGCCACTTGTTTCAGACATGCTCTAGCATCTTCACTGAGGGACCTGGTCGACTAAGTGCTGCAGCCAGCGTGTTGGAACGCTGGCGAATTGGAACAATAGAGACAATAGT